TTCTGGGTTTGGAGCCATTATGTTCCTTTCACTGTCTCTGGCTGGAGTGGTAACCCTGGCTGTCATCTCTGATATCTACGACGATTTATTTCCATTTTTGTCTGTTTCAAAGCAGTATTCATTCCTAGGGACTCACCACCCTTGCTATTTGAGGTTTTCTATTTCTTTGTAGTTTCGCATATCCCCCCCTTTTTTTTTTTTTTTTCTGCCTCCAGCTTCCCCTGTTATTAGTATTCCAGTTTGGAGTTTTTTGTGAAAAATGTCTGTAGGTTACCAACAATGATTCATTGTTAGAACTGCTAAATTATAGTCTGCACTATTAAGTAACAGGATATGGCATCAATGGAACAGAATGTGATGCTGTCACTATAGTCCCTTTCAGTACGGATGGTATTACTTTAAAAAGACTTTCAGCTATCTTGTTGAATTGGAAGAAAAAGACACCAACTTTACTGTGACATGCTCAGACTTGTGCCACACAAATTGCAACCTAGAATGTTTATCCAGCTAAACGACTCTGACTTTGTCAATCAGCTGCTTAGCTGAGATACTCCTCTAGCATATCTGTTCCAGGAAATTGAGAATATTAAATTATATATTTTTGCCACCAACATACACAAGCCTATGAAGGATTTTACCAGTGCCTTTTTTTCTCGTCACCAAGCTACTCTTTTTGTTTTCACTGAAGTTGTGTCTGTGGCGCATCACAAACCTCCACAGTAAATCTGACACAGAAGCTGCAATGAGGCCCATATAAAATTTTACTAGCTCTATTGTTTGCTTTTTAAATCCACACATAGCCTATGATATTTATTTTTTTTTCTCTAACATTTTACAGATCAGCACTTTGTTGTCTAAAAACAAAGTTGACATTGGGTTGGGATCTTGTTCCAGAATTGGTAGGTGCAGCTGGGCACCTCCTGTCCCCAATTGTTCTAATGGCCTTAACCGTATAAGCTCTGTTCTTCAGGTATATTTTTGGCAATTACAGTTCACATTTTGCTCAAGACAGTATTTTTTTTTTTTTTTAATCTAATCTTTATTTAAGTACCCACCTCTTGCTTTTGTCCAGTCATGGAAGCAAAGGCTTTCCCAGCATTTATTTGTTTTCTATATGTTAGGTATTGTTCTCATTCATGCTACTACTGTCAGGACCACCTGCAAGTCATCCTTGATTTTGAGCTTTGACGAGCTCCTTCCTGCAGGGCTGTGCTGGTTCTCAGCCCTGTGTGGAATATCAGGCTGTTTTCCATTGTCACACATGCACACACACACACAGAATTTCTAGGTTGGAAGAGACCTCAAGATCATCGAGTCCAACCTCTAACCTAACACTAACAGTCCCCACTAAACCATATCCCTAAGCTCTACATCTAAACGTCTTTTGAAGACTTCCAGGGATGGTGACTCCACCACCTCCCTGGGCAGCCCGTTCCAGTGCCTAACAACCCTTTCAGTAAAGAAATTCTTCCTAACATCTAACCTAAAACTCCCCTGGCGTAACTTTAGCCCATTCCCCCTCGTCCTGTCACCAGGCACATGGGAGAACAGGCCAACCCCCACCTCGCTACAGCCTCCTTTAATGTACTTATACAGAGCAATAAGGTCACCCCTGAGCCTCCTCTTCTCCAGGCTGAACAAGCCCAGCTCCTTCAGCCGCTCCTCGTAGGACTTGTTCTCCAGGCCCCTCACCAGCTTCGTCGCCCTTCTTTGGACCCGCTCAAGCACCTCGATGTCCTTCTTGTAGCGAGGGGCCCAAAACTGAACACAGTACTCGCATTCCTCCTGAACAACTTCAGTTGCTTCAGTGTGCCAGCCCGCTAGCCGAGATTTTGGACTCCTGAAAGACTTGGAATGAAGTTTTTGTTCATAACCCAACCCAGTGTAGGAGACCAGATTAACTTCCTAAATGTGCACAGCTTAAACAGGTTGCCTATTCCCTTGTAAATTCACTTTCCTTTTGTATTGTAAGGTTACAGGACACGACACTTTGACGTTTCAAATGTATGCATGGTGCATTGCTCAAGTCTGTGTAATGCAAGTTTATAGTAAACATATTCTAAGTAAGCAGTTTCTATATGCATGATGTTAAAGAGATTTTAGTTACTGTGGGGAATCAGGTTATACTCCAAGAGGGTTTTTTTTATTATTATTATTATTTTATTTTTTTTATGATTATTTTTATTTTATTTTCCTTGACCCTGCAGATTCAGATGAAAGCTCTGTTTAAGTATTTTCCTGTTGTATTTTGCCTGCCCAGATTTTCAGCCGTTCCAGTGCTTCCAGCTGCCCAGTTCTTCACATCAAATACTAATCTTGCCTTTCATTGTTATCTAGCAATATTTACCCAGGGCCCTACACATTCCAGAGAGAGCTGTGATGACTCCCGTTGCTCTGTGTGTGTGGAAATAGAATATCCTCTCCCATACAGCTCTCTCTGGTGCCACTCAAAGATCAAATGCCAGAACTACATCAGTTCAGCTGATGCTTTGTGTAACTAGCATGACCTACATCAGTGAGTACTTTCATACCAGAATGATGCCATGTGATGGTGTAATCACTGGTAAGACAAAGCTTTGCCCGTGCTAGGACTTGTTTACCAACAGAGGAAAAGCTGCATTTGACTGGCACCATTTCCAAATATGTTTTTCTGTGGAAAAATTCTGCTTTTATATTAGAACAATAACTGCTCTTACATAAGCAAAACAATCAGAACTAGTGAAAGCGGAGTTTTTACTGCTGTAAATAGTTTCGTAAGGGCAATCGTACAGGGCAGAGCACCAGCTCAGAGCTCTGACTTTCATAGCTGTATCTGCAGAGTACACATTACATGCTATAAAAAATAAAAACCTGCTCATACCAGGGTATCTGATTTTCACGTACTGTATTGATTGACTCTACTGTATCGGTAATGACTGAAACAAAATTAGGAGTGCTTTCTTTGAATGTTATACCACTAGGATGTACTAAATGTAGGGCTTTTATGGGTACAGCATCTATGAAAAATTGTCTATCGGTGATGTTTTGTTTGTTTTAATAATATGCCAGTAAAAAAATGAAAATTAGGTTGTGTCTAACCTGCCTATTTTCTGTTTCTTGTGTAGTAAAAGCGGTGTTAAAATATTTAGATTGCTGTCACTCATGGATAAATTGGACTTTTAAAGAAACCATAACAACATTAAGACATGAATTAGAAAATAATGTTGTTTATACTGTTACATTGGAAAACACATTTCCTTCAATTAAAAATGGTGCAAGGCCCAAATCAATTGTTAAAGGTCTTTTAAAGAAGACTAAAATGCAAATCTTTGAGTCTACATTTTTTTTCTTTACTACTGTGAACAGTTAAGGATATTACTGCTGTACATTTTAGCTCTTCTTACAGGTGGTAGAGAAAGCAATTATAGTATTTAGGAATCTTACAGGATTCTCACTGTTCTGAGGAAGAGAGATTTTTCTTTAGACTTGAGTTCTATTTTTAATGTGTTAACTGTCATTTTAATCTTCCTGGAGTGGACTACTCATTTCCTACAGGACTTTTGTTTCATACACTGTTTCATAGCTTGCCTTGTTACTGGTAAGCTTTGTGAGCTTTGCCTGATAAATAGGAAAGGATGTCACTTTCTGACCTTTCCCCTTTGGGTATATTGCCATGTTTCAGTGCTTTCTCAGGCTTGAAGGAATTAAAGCAATCTGGATCTGCAGCTCTGCTGAGAGTGCTTCTGCTCTGTGCTGCTGCTCTGGCTGTTAATGGTGGGTGTAGGGAGCACTCAACACGTGAAGCACTGGAGGCTTCTTGGTGCTAAGCCCTTGTTGCTGGGGCTGCATGCACTCCAGTGGTGTTTGCAACCCCTTTCCCTCCGAGGTTGAGGAGCTCTGCCCGTCCTCCAAAAGCAGAACAAGCTGCCCTGAGAGATAGGAGCCTGAGCTTTTTATGATGCTTGAGCTAGACTAGGAATCTAGTTGAATTACTCGAGGGGAAACTTAGCCAGGGGCTTTGGACAGCTTTATTTCTCATTTGTAAATCATAATGCTGGAAGAAATCATAAAATATGAGAAAAGGTTATTTTATTTTTAACTGCCATTTTGATTTCCCAGAAGGAATTGACCACTGCCCACCAGTACTGACTCCAGGTTTTCCATTAGAAAAAAAAAAAAAAAAGGTAATTTTAAAAGTCGTCATAAATTTCTGTTTAATAGTTGGGTTTCATATACAGGCATACTTACAGCTTTAAGATTACAAAATGATTTCATCTTACATCCCTCAAAGTAAAAGTAAAACATTTTATTTTTAGTGTTTCAATCTCAAGCGCTCAACCACTTTACAAACATTGCTGAATTGAAGTTTGTAGCTTTCCAGTAAAGTATGAACTGTTCTTTTCCTGATATTATAAATGGAAAATGTGGAAAGGCTAGGGTCATTTACACAAGCAATGAATAGCCTTTTATAATGAAGTTATTTGTTTAGGATTTACTGTCATTCCGTAACCATTTAACAAATCTAAAACTGTGCTCTCGTTGAAATGGTACCACGTTCTATTCTCCACTTTTGGCCAGTTTCTCATGCCTCTCCAGTTCATCCCCTCTCTCACTCATTTGGCTGCCTGGTAAACTAGTTAATTTTTTTTTCAGCTGAACCAAACTGGGAATTAGCAACCAGCCTGATCTCGCTGTGAGACTGTGTGGAATCTCATCCTTAGAAAATGCATTATAGTCCTAGTTTTGCTACAGAATTCTTGTACGACCTTTAGCAAATCCCTAAAGCTCTCTGTTTCCAGTTGTAAAATTGAGATAATTATACTCCCCAGCCTTTCGGTATGTGAATATTAATTTATTAATATGCATGAGACATTCATACCCCACAGTCATGAAAGCCATGGAAGCTCCTAGATCAACATATTTATGTTTTTTATTCATCCACAGCCAGAGAGAGTTCATTCCTATTAAAAGCCTCAGTAACTCAGATACCCCCATAACATCTTAATAATATTAAACTGGAATTCAAAAGCAACATTAATCTTTAGTCCAGTGTCATCTTCATGGTGACTGTATCCTAAATTCATTTGAATCATCATAGCAGAAATTGATATTCTGGCAAGTTCCAAAAAGTATATGTTGCCAAAAGGCTACTGTTGTCAATGCATGACTAACTGCTGTGTAAATATTCTGAGTGTATACAGAATTCTGAATTTGGAATGTTTGAAATATATAATCATTGGTGCACCATCATGATGTAGGTAATGAGCCACCAATGCTTATGGTGCCAGACTGAGCCAGTCATTTTTAAACCGGTGATTTTCAGTTTCGGCTGGCTTGGTAACAGCAGCAAGTCAGCTGCAATATGCGTTCTCATGGTTTCATCTCAAAAACTGGATGGGGAAGACATGAAGATATAATTATCTTAATGGTAGTTCTACCATGCAATGTTAGCTGTGACACTGAAGAAATAGCTCGTATGAGACCATCTCCACTCTCCAGCTCTGCAGAGAAGCTTGCATAGGCTCCATTATTATTTTAAGTGACTTCTTCAAAATGCCCATCATGGTCCCTTGAGTTCAGAGCAGTTGAGACTAAGTTGTGAGTATTTTCTGCGTCTGTGGCCTGAAAAATCAGATGGTTAAATAAGAAAATACTTAAGAAAAAGGTTTGGTGTCTTCATGAAAGAAAACAGGGCTTCATTCTATTTCTGATAGGAAAAGCCACTAATCACAGGGGTAGGTGTTGGGGCACTGACTGCACTTACCAGAAAGGCAGTGGAAGCTTCTATTGCAAGGACCAGTAACAGCTTGGGGCATAGCATATGAAGAAATAATTAAAAGGCCAATCTAACTACATAACAATGAATTGCAGCTTAATGATTACTGATTCAACAATCGTTAATATCCAGAACACAAAATCTTACAGCCTGATTTTAAGGAGGAAACTTGCTGAGCTTGCAAAGCTTTACAAAGAAGGGAGGCGGAGGAGGAGAAGAGACACAGACATCAAGGCCTTCAGCCTAGAAAAAAAAAAAAAAAAAAAAAAGCAACTTGTTTTGTAAGGTCACTATGCCCTGTAAGATACTAATTTCAGGGAGACTTAGCAAAAGCAGAGCTGACACAGTGACTAATGAACCAAAGGTCCCAGTGTATTAAGACCCTTTTTGTAATTCATATTGCCAAAAAGATACTAATGCTTTTTGTGTAAGCAAAAACTAACCTAAACTACAAGCTTTTATGAAAGCAAGCATCCCAGTGACAATAATGTGTCTGTTACCTACTTAACTATATATTTACTAGAAGAGAAAGGGTGATTGAAAGCATTTAGTCCCCGACCATCAGCACCAGCTGCTGTTGTATCAGCCATTGTATTCAATGGTGTCGTTTAAAAGCACAGCCATTCCTCACTCCTATCAAATTAGAGGCTTTCAAACCTAAGGTACAAAATTGCAGGCAGCTGTGCTGTACCATGTGATGGTTATAACTGCAATATTAGGCCAATTTTGGGTGAGAATATGGCTTTGCTTTGCTTGTGTCTCTAAGACAGAGGTGATAGCAAAGATAGCTCTTTCTTGCTGTTTAAGTTTGTGCTAGTTTATGTGGTTGTGGTTGCTGTGGTTTATGTGGCAGTAGGTTGTGCCTGCTGTTCTTCCTATTTTTTTCTTCCCTTTTTGTCAGAAAAAAAGGATTGGGTGTGTTTCCAGTGGTATGTGTTATTGTTTGTGACCCCTATTCCTTATGCTTATTTCTGACCTTATATAGGTATATTTATATATTTACCTATATATTTATATAGGTATATTTATAAGGGTAACTAATTGGTCACTTGTGTTGCTGTGGACACAAGTGTTATTCTTAGTTAAATCCTTCAAACCTACAGATCAAGCCAGAATTATTTTGCTCTGAACACTGTTGTTCTGTCTTCACATGGTACTATGGGGGGGCTACTGAAAGGTATGAGCGCTGTCTTAACTCTTTCCTGTGGTGGTCTACAAGCCTTTAAATAGCACTAGTATTTCTGTAGGCTGGCTATGTAAAACACTTCACTTTTGAAATCAATCATTGGGTGATGCAATCCAGTGGCTTCGAAAATCTGAGCCCTACATTTCCGAAGCACTTGGAAAGACCATGCCATGTTCAGATGGGATAGGACTGTTCTGAGCTGCCTTTGACGTCCAGAACACTGACTTTGTGAGTCCTAGCTCACAAAGTCCACAATCTCGGATATCCAGAATATGAAATATCCAGAATCTCGGATAGCTATTCACTCAATGTTTGAAAAGCATGATCAAACAGTGTTTCCCGAATTCCTTTAAGCAGCAGGACTATTCCCGTACATCTCCAGCAGGGGACCTGCTTCCAAAAGGCAGCTGGCCTACTAGCACAAACCAACCGCTTCAAGGTCTTGCTGTTGCTTTCTTTTGCGTTATAGTACTCTGCTCTGGAACTTTGAGTATTATCCAGGTTGCACGGAGCATTTCCCACAGGTCCCTCTGTTTGTTGAGTTGCTATCCTGAAAAATTCTTCCTATAAAAGCTGCTAATTTCAAGAAATTGGGGAGTGCAGGTACTCCCTAGAAATTACCTAAGTTGTGATTTTTGTCCTAGGACTTACAATGCTATGATGGTGTCAGATATAAACCAGCAGTTTAGCTAGTGAAAGGGCGGGAGCATCACAGGAATTCATGGCTCAGGAACTGAAAACATCCCCCTGCCACCACCCGCAACAGCTGAGTACAGATGGAGAAGCTGGCTGTTTTCCATCATTAGTGAGTAACCCATTTCTCTGTGCTGATTGATTTGCCCTATGCTGTCTTATTTTTTTTCCATGCTATTGCTGGCAGAAAGGTCTTCTCTACTAACAACAAGTTTGTCTAGTTTTGGCATTGAGCTTAATACTGAATGACAATTTAATACTTCCTCTTCCAAGTCATGTTGACCTTTAGTTTTGTGGCAGATAATTTCTAATGTGTGTATATGAAGATATCTTAATTGCTTTTAAAAACTAGTTTGAGGGAAATCATTATTTCAGCACAAAAGCATGCAATAATGATTTTTCTATTACTGTGGGTTGCCGTACTGAGCTTAGCTCTTGTCTGTAAGAAAATAGGAGTTCACTGCACAAATGAGTCCCCATTTGCAAGCTGCTTATACACCTGTTGAAATGTTAAGCAGTGATTGAAAATCTTTTTTTTATTCTGCTTTCTCAGTAACACAGTAAAATAGATCTTTTCTTTTTGCTTCTAGTTACTAAAAGTATTTACCAAATAAGCTACATAAAGTTTAGTATAAGAGGCTCATCCTGAATTGACCTACGACTGAATTAAGTATTTAACAAGCTACGTGTATCCCTTTGTTATGGCTTTATAGCACACTTCATCATGCTTCCTGACAGCTTTGAGATTGGATTTTGATATTAACCAATGCTTGCTCTGAGAAGGTTCCTGCTCACATTTCCATTATTAGCTCCAATGACCTTAAATTCCTCCTGTAGTAGGAAGTGAAATTTTTAATCTATGATGAAAATCTTTTCTTACCATTCAGATTTCCATAAATCTTTTAATGCAAAGCATTCGAAGTAGGCGTGAGACTGCAGGCTGTACAAATAGCTCTCTTTTTCCTAAATTATTTCATAGTAAGTGAAATCCTGCTGGCATTATACAACAGTGGCGCTACTGCTAAGAGGGTGGAAAAGTTTTAAAAAACAAAATTCCATGGTAATATTAATAGCAGAGAATCATGAGGGATTCTTAAAATCTGATCTTGCGTGAGGGCAAGCAGTGGAAAAGGTTAACTGTGACCTCTGTTGGCACATCTGCCGGAATCGCTGGGCAGGGGCTGGCTGCAGGGAGGCCCCGCTACCTGTCCCCAGGGGCCGCCTCGCTGCTGTGCGGAGCCCTGGGAGCCGCCAAACCCCAGCGGCTCTCGGTGCCCTGAACCTCCAACACAACCGTGCGGCAGCAGCGCTGCCGGCAGTAAGGCTTGTGTGCCCGGCCGCCGCTGCTGCTGGCCTAACAGGTGCTCGCCGGCATCCCCGCCGCGGGGCTCGGCTTCCCCCGGGGGTGCGCCCGCGGAGCCGGGCGCTGGGCGCGGAGGAAGATGGCCGGGGCCGGGGCCGGAGGGGGCGGGAGGCGCCGCCGGGGCCGCCTGAGGGGGCGCCGGGGCCGCGCGAGGGGGGCGCGGGCCGCGCTCCGCCGGCGGCCCCACAGCCGCTCCCCTCAGCGGCGCGGGGCGAGCGGCCGGGGCCGGCGGCGGCGCCCGCCTCTGCCTCCTCCCCCTCGGTGCCCTGCCTCCTCCCTCCCTCCCTCCGCCGGGCGGCCGGGAGGGAGCGCGGCCGAAAGGTGCTGCTGGAAGGGAAGTTTGAAGAAGGTCGCCGGCTGCCTGGGCGCTCCCGCAGCATCATGGCGGAGCCGGGCGAGTCGCCGGTCCACGTCCAGCAGCCCCAGGCGGCGCCCGCCGCCCCGGCCGTCGGCTGGCCCATCTGCAGGGACGCCTACGAGCTGCAGGAGGTCATCGGTCAGTGCGGCGGGGAGCGGAGCGGAGCGGGGCCGGGCGGGCGGCGGGGGGATGCCGCGGGGAGAGGGGGGGCGGGCGGCCCCCGGCGGGCTGGGGCTCGCTGCCTGCGGCGGATGCGCCCGGCACTGCGGCGGCGCCGCCGGCGGCTGCCGCAAACTTTATCCGCCCGCCGGCGGCGGCCCCGGGGGGCGGCGGCTCCTTCTAGAAACCGCCGCGCCCCGCCCGGTGAGGCCCGGCCCGACTCGGCCCGGCGCGGGGGGTTTTGCCCCGGTGCCCTGCGAGGCGGCGTCAGCCCCGCGCCGAGCCCCGCTCTCCGCCGGGACCCCGGCAACTCTGCGGATGCGCGGCCGGCCGTGCGCGCAGCTGTGCGCGCATCCGCTCCGATTAGTCGGCATTTTTCCGGTGCTTGGATGGGGGAGGTAGAGCTCGCCCGGAGACCTGCTGCTGCATCGCCCTGACTTCCTTTTCGCTTTTCTTGCCGTCTTTCTGGGTTGCTCTTGAGCCCCGTCCTCTTCCCCCCAAGCGGTCGCTGTCGCCCCCCATCCACCTCCCCGTGCCCCCGGTCCCGGCCGTGTGCTCCGGGGGTTGCAGCCCGGCTCCCCCGGCGCACCCCGGCTTTTGTCCCGGTTTGCTGCCAGCCCCCCTCCGCAGGGGGCTTCCTGCGGTGGGCTTTGTCCGTCTGTCTGTCCGGTCAGTGCGAGTCACACGTGCTCCATCTTCACCCCATGCATGCGGAGTTCTGCAGTGTGACGAGGTGGCAGTGGCTAGCAGTGCGTGGGGTGGGCAGGTGTCTCTCCTGATCTACACGTTGCTTGTTGCTAATAAACTACTTTGGGAAAACTTGCTTGTGTTTGTGCGTGACGCTTTGAACTTGGAGCAGATGCTGCAGGTGGTAAAAGCCAGATCGGACTGGGGTTGTGGCGTGTGCGTGAGGCCATTTTGATGAAAAAATCCAGGAGCTTTGCCTGGTGATGCTGGTGGTGATCTTTGATATCGCACAGCCATCACTAACCACCATCAGGCTGAGGACAACCAGAATGCATGTTGGCAATGGGGGCTGCGAGCTGTGGGTACCCAGTTCTGCCATTACGCTGTTCTCCATGAGCACAATCCAAACAGCTGAGAACTTCTTCCTTGAAGTGGGGTGACTTGCTGCTAGCCCAGGTGGTCCTGTTGTGCTTGTCTGCACTTCCTAGGCTGTGAGAAGGGACTAAGGAGGGCCGAGGGTTCAGGTGTTGGGTACCAACAGGTCCAGGGAGGTAACGCGCCTGAAGCAGCTCTTGGTGAAGGCCCCATGTAGGCACAGGTTTGTTTCCCAGAGGCTTTCATCTTGCTCAGCATGGGGATGGGTCTAAATTAGCCAAGCAGAAGCAATTCTACTGGTATAAGCTCTATCTTTGCTGAGGAGCAAGTCTTTCTTCTAAGTGTTTTTAAGAAAAAAGCGTCAGAAAGTGTTGGATTAAGCCTTGTCTAGGGTTGCTTAGGGTGTGACGTGAGTCATATGAGTTATTTTAATAGTGGTTATTTTCTCTTGCAGTTTTGCAGAAGGGCTGGGTGAGAGTTCCTGAATGTCTTTCTCCTTTCCACTTATAAAGCCTGCATTTTTTTGTAGTGTAAATAATTTCTAAATAATAATTTTTAAGAATTTGTCCATTATAAGGGTAGATGCTCGTTGGAGTCACAAATACCTATCTGAAGGAAACTTTATTGCTTGTTACCTATTGGTGCTATTAGATATCAATATTTCTACGATAAAGTGAATGCCTAGTGAGGAAATTGAGGCCAGGTTGTGTTGAATTGGGTTCTTAGACATAGTGAACTTAGCTGGCTTGAGTTGAACTTTTACTAAGTTTAGGCTACATATGTGACTTTTTTCTTAAATGCATTGAGGTTTATTTTGTATCGTGATATATGATTAGTCTAATATATGCATATATATTTGCTTCAACATACTGGAGACCATTAAATTTGGTTGCAATGCTCTTAAAAACAGTAAAATAGTGAATTCCATGCAGTTGACCAAATGTGGACATAACATTCATCCAACATCTCCAGAATTGTTACTTGAATGAGTTTGGTGAGGGGTTCCTGAAGCAACTTTATATCTGAGGGAGGGGAGAAGGATCCAGCCTGACCTCAGCTCAGCAGCCGTTCCTGTCCCTCTGTGGCAGCCGTGCTAAGGTCAAATGCCTTGTGAACGCGAGCAATACCATGCACCACCAAAGCAGAGCCCTTCATCTATGGAAGGCACTGCCCAGCTCTTCCAGAGGGACTGGGTTGAGTCCTCAGGGCTGGCTTCAGTTACAACAGCCCTTTGCCACTTAAATGTGAAAAATAATGTATTGGAGCGTCTCTGTGGGCTTTGCAGGAGAAAAGGTACGCAGGGTGAGGTACCCCAAGATGCTTTATCACAGCACTTCACAAAAGAGTAAACTTTATATCATATGGCAATTAATATACACGGTGCAAAATGACTTCAATGGGCTGTTCTAGGGGGCATTTAAAAGTTTGTGATGATCATAGGATAAAAAGTTAAAATCATCACTTGTCATATATGTTGTCTCTATCCTGTGGATTTAGCGGGTTGGAGAAATTTTGCCCTCTTTATGAGAGTGTGAATGCTTCTTACTGCTCATCTGTGCCTGGCCAAATGCAATTTTGAAAAGCAAGACCACATGGTATGGATGTCAAATGATATGGCTCTTCTGCCTTCCCTTCTCTGTCTGTTGCTTTCTTTGCAATTGTTAGGAGGTTCAAGTGCCTGTGAGAATGCAAGCTGTAAGTTGTGCTTCTTAGGAGATGTTATTTCACGTGTGTTTTATTTTTAAGGTTGTTAGCAAGTTCTTTGTAAACTCTTGGTATGCAGTTGCATGATACATTTAATCTGCTGCAACAGGCAGCTGTTGAGAAGATCTCATTGATCTGTCAGAAAACTAGTTCTGCTGGGTTAGTTTTCGGTCAGATCAGGTTCCCTGTTTGATTTGCTGCATGGCTGATCTCATGGAAAGAAGAGGCTCTTCCTATTAATGCCTGTATCCAAATCTTTACCAGGGCAAGAAGAAATTCTGATTGCTGTCTGTAAATGTGTAGGATAGAGTTAAGAGATAAGGAAATTGTTGCATTAATTCAGATGGATATAGGCTGTAGAAACCTACGCATTTAGGCATTAAAAGGGGATTCCTGACTGTTTGGATGGTGAGGGTCCAAAACAGCCTTCCCGTAGGAGTTAGAGATAAGAATGGTAATTGCTATT